CCATTCTCGGTTGTTCGCTCCGCTCTTTCCCGCCAGACCACGCGTCTCGCGGCGAGACACTCGTACGCGGATGTTCTGTCCCTGAACCAAGCAATTAGACTTGCAATTGCATATTCGACTTGGCGCTTTAGAGTTTTACGGTGATGACCGATTGTTCTCGAGCGAGTTGATGGTAGTGTTTTTGAGTTTGCTGTACTCAATGACCATAACCTTATTTTTGAGCTTCATCGGAGCACTGCGTCGACTTTTTCGTACGCGCCGGTATGCTCTATACTCTTAAGCTGAAGATGCACCTCGCGGACCTCAGTACGGAGCACGAGGTGCAACTATAGTGAAAGCACCTCGCGTAAGGTGTAAGTCTCCTTGTCCCTTGCTCCTAAATTAAAGGTGCACCTTAAGGAGCGTTTCTTGTGAAATAGGCCTTAGGGTTCCACTCACTGTCTGCTTCTACTCTGAGCAAAAACGAGCTTGAGAGTTCTGGAGCGAAGCGACGGGTTCTCTAACTTGGAGACTCTAAGTCAGATGAGTTTAAAGACTAAACTCAACATGGATATACAGTAAAGCCTGCATGAGGGAATGATTCGCCATCTTGATCTGCAATTCATGGAGACCCATCAGGTTTATGAAGTTCGTATCCGGAGTTCGACTTGCTACTACCCGATTAGGTACTTAAGTCCATCATCGTTTGCCCGACTCGCTTCAATCTATTCAATGCAGTGTACTATCAAGCTGAGTTTTCGACGACTCTGTTGTATCGTGTGTTCATATGACTGGACAGAGCTCAGTATAGCATACAGTCGCATGTGAATCACCATGTGCTAGCTACTATCTCATATCATCCACACTAACATGATGTTAGTAACATCTAATGATTAGATTGTGCTCCAGAGCGGGCGGCTCTGAGCGACTCTATGTTGTGTCCTTGCTATCATACGATCCGCTAGCAGAATCGTGTTCTCAAGTTACTCCGAAAGTGTTAGCTTGAGAATGAATAAGGAGCGTGGCATAGTACGGTGATTGTTGCGTAAGAAACTGGCACGGTTGAGAGCGGTCAGAATGGGCGCTTGTCTGAATATCTATGGAATGGTTTAACCGTTACGGTTACGAGTGTCACCTATTCCTCTTAATATGGTATCCGCTATGTGACTGGGTATCGAGTGCTCCAATTTCAGAGGGAATTGTCCTTGTTGGAAAAGAAATCGAAATTCTCGTGACTTACTTGAAAAAGTGGCACGCTCCGTATAACATTGATCTTTTCATCTCAACCTGAGACTTCCAAGGACGCATAGGTCTACGTTCTCGATTCAGTGCAACAAGGACATAATTTAACTGGTGTATCTTAACATATCGCTTACACCCCCGAGCGTCAGCGAGCTAGAGAACCCCGGAGCGAAGCGACGGGTTCTGCTAGTGACGTTGGTCACGATGACTTAACACGAGGCTCAATAACGGGGACTGTCTAGTGTGCTGAAACAAGGCGAATTTATACACCAGGACTAGTGCTGAGTATTATATGAGCATTTGTCCTATACCACACCTTTCTGAACTCCTACACTTGTGATGGTTGCTCAGGACTATATACTGCTTCAATGTAGTTCACGTAGATAGTACATGTCTGGCAGTGGCGAGCCTTCTGAGGACCCACCGAAACGACAGCGGTTGGAGGCTGAGGAGATCCATGTTGCTGTAGATGATGCTGGAGCCGTTAAACTCGACAAGAAGACTTTTCGAGACATTGCTAAGAAGTATCGGAAAGTGGAGGGGCTCGGCAAAAAGGGTAGTAATAACGTCTAGGAGGTGGACAGTGAACTAATGAACTCTCGAGTTACTGTATATAAATTCGACTCACAAACTGGACTGATCGTCGTTGGCACCAGAAATAGGAAATTCATGACGGTCTGTGTGCTCATCCAAGTGATATGTTCCATTTCTCCATACAGGTGTGAAACGGATAGCCAAATCGCTGAAGCAGCGAAGAGACCTTCGTCACAAATCGATCATACAGGAGGCTGATGAAGCCCAGCTCGTCGCTACTGAGGTATTTTCTCCTTTTCTATCTATCCTGATTTGCCCATGGCACGGTCGTAGATTTTCGCGACTAACGACGATGCTGGGGCGATTGAGATGGACGATGGCGTTCGCAAGTCCTATAGCCTCACCCAGAAGGAACTAGCCTCACAGGTACTGCTACTTTGCCGAGGACGTTGTGTATTTTGTACATCAGGTTGATATTGGTACGCAACGTAAGCTGTTCAACTTCAGCCTCCCTGGAGGGTCCTTCACTGTGAATACAAGCAGCAACGGTCGGTATATGGTCGTGGGCTCTCGCGGTGGGCAGTTTACGGTACTAATATGGGAAAATATGCGCATGATCAACTACATGTGTTGACGACAACATGAAAATTTTGGGAAATTTTTTATTGGTTTCTCTACATTACTACTACCCGAATTCGTATATAAATTCCTATGATCAGTGAGCTCAGTTGAGGAGAGCGAAAATATCGGTTATTGTTATAATCAACAAACATCTAATATTACCATTGCGAATACTATCTGTGTAGACATTGGAGTTTCACCACCCTAGTGATATGAAAAACACTAGTGGAAAACATATCTCTCGATTGCTGCATATCACCGCGAATATCGCGTTTTTCACCGAGTTTTACGCCACTTCACGTAAAACGGGTTGTGAAACTTTATTATTATGTAATATTTTGTAGCAAGATCAACCGTGTTATTCCTATCTATGCATATATTCCAACATTAACGAAGTTATCCACGGAAATGTGCTTGTGACCAGGTCTTGGATCGACACAGTATGAACCCTCTGTGTTCGGAACAGCTGGACGAGCCCATTTTGGATGTTGCCTTCTTACACGACCACACTCTGTTTGCGGCGGCACAGCGAAAATACACGTGAGCTGTCTGTGTGTGTGTTCCGATGGAATTGTGGTTGGTATTAGGTACATATACGACTCAGCTACTGGTGCTGAGGTACACTGCCTGAAGGACCATCTTAATAGCACCCATTTGGAGTTCCTGCCAAAACATTACCTCCTAGTGAGCGGATCGGAGACTGGAGAAATACGGTATAGGGATGTGGTAATAGGGAGGGCTGGTACATTCCATATGGGCGAGAGAATGATCTGAAGTGGATAGCTTTGACTACCTGTGATGGCACTGTATTGGTATTACATCACTATGTGTGTTTTGACAGGGAATTTCATACGGGGCGACGTTTATATGACCCGCATGTTCGAATTGGCTCAGAACTTGGTCATTATCACTTCATAGGGGAAAATTTGGAATTTTTTCTCGCGTGTCGGTAAATTTTTGGTATACGGCCGAACTGGTAGATTGGATGCAGAGGTATCGTATTTCAGTCTACCGGCCAACATGTTGCCAAGATTGTCACGAGGCAAGGGCCGATACAGTCTATGCGGCAGAACCCTGCTAACGCTGTAGTGGTCACTGGTCACACTCGTGGGCATGTATGTATGTGGACGCCTAATATCAAGGAACCAGCATTGAAGATGCTGGCACACTTCGGACAGGTGAGGAGGTGTATTGTAAAGTTAATAAGCTATTTCGTTCCACAGGTGACCGCTCTGGATGTCACTAGTGATGGGAAATATCTGGTCACTTGTGGAACTGACAGTAAATGGAAAGTGTGAGTAGTGGATTGACTTGGTGGTCACTCACGTGCAAAGTTAGATATGACCTTCGAAAGCCATCGGAAGAATTGCAGCGTTGTAGTTTCTCTGGACAGGCTCCGACGTCTATGGACATCTCTTTCGGCGATGCCGACTTGGCATTTGGTTTCGGCTCAAACGTTTCGGTCTTCCGAGGAGCAGATGTCTTTAGGAGTGGCAAGGCACCCAGTACTTACTTGAAGAACAACTACAGCGGTCAGCAAGTAGGAAATGCACCTGCTAGTCATTGGTATGGTCACCGCAGGTGTCTAGTGTCCGATTCGTCCCGTATGAAGATCTGTTGCTTGTGGGCACCAGTGGTGGCTTCAACTCTATGCTGGTACCGGGCGCTGGTTACACACAGTTCGACTCCTATGTGGCTAATCCTTTCGAGACTACTAAGCAGCGCCGCGAGACTCAGGTGAGGAGCTTGCTCGAGAAGCTGCAGCCTGATATGATCGCTCTTGATGCGAACTTCATCGGCCGAGTACAACCCCCGAAGAAGATTCCCGCTAAGCCACTGCTTGATAGTGATGAGAGCGAGGTTGAGGAGGAGTCCTTTGCGGCGAAGCATAAAATGCGGGGAAAATCCAAAGCCGGCAAGCGTCAGCAACGAATGAACAAAATGCGAGGGGAAGCGGAGCGCAAGAGGCGGGCGAGAAGAGCCGGTGAAAGCAAGGTGGATGTGGCGGAGAAAAGCCTTGAGTCGGCCAGGGCAGAGCACGGGGCTCTAGCCCGGTTTTACGTAAACAAGACTGATTAGCTGTATAGGGCTACTGCCGCCATAACACGTTTCGTTCCATCACTTGGAGAGTAGAGTTGAGAAAGTCGGTTTTGTCATATTAAGGCGAATATACACCATCGAATCCGCTATAATAGGCACTGCGTTACGTCCACAGTGGGATAGGTCGCGTCGCTAGTGACATATTCTGCGTCGAATCAACGGTTTATAATACCATCAACCTCGAGAGTCAAATTTGAACTACGTGTTTATAGACACTCAAGGCGGCGGCCTGCTAAGCCGTTGGGCTACGCTCACGAGGGTTGACTAGTTCCCTGCCCATCTCATGTTGATGTTCGATGGCCTGAATTTGATCACTCTATGAATTCACACGCTTGTCTCATCAACGCAACGGAGCACCCGGGGAGCGAAGCGTCTGGTGGATTGCGATGATCCCACTCTAAATGCAACGCCGCCATTTGACCGAAATGTTTGATTACGGAGGATTTCCGATGCTGAACAGCGGTGCTTTGTTTTTCCGACGGAAAGGCGGGTATTTCCGCATGTAGTTGATCGACGGTAGCTGACCGAGCACTTTGGACGTTCGGTATCTGCGTTGAGAAAACTCATTCAATCAGCGGGGTTATCGGATGCAGGATCATGAAGAGATGACGACCATCTCACTCGAGCTCACTGGATGAGAAATGCGCGATCACGATGGATTGTAGTTCATCCTTATCGAGTTCGGCATCGAACTCTATCCGCCGAGCCAGGGCGTCGCTCATCTCAATATGTGTGATGTTCTCTCGTGAGGTCGGCTTTGATGCTGAGCTCACAGCGCACACCTTATGATCGCGGTCAATCGTCGAGACGAGGAATAAAGAGATCTGTTGAGGAATCATCGGTGGGCCGCTGACTGTGACACTAGTAGCCCACCACTATCCCTGAGAGTATCACCGTCATCGTCGCCATAGCAATTCTGAAGTGACCTGCGCAGGACAGAGAGTTGACACAGCTGAAAGCTATGAAGCTACGAAGTTCGTCCGTTGTGAGATCATTCCCCCATGGTGTGTCGGCATAGTTCGCTTGTATAAACTCTGGTGTTCTCATTATGGAGGGAGTCGGTTCATGAACTTGTACAATAGAAACGTAAAGTTGCCGAACGAGAATTGACTAACACCGACCATTTCACTTCATCAGATGATTCGCTTTTATGTACCGCTTAGGTCATCATATTCTGAAGCTTAATCATAACTACTGCCCCTCGCTCGAGCTTATCTGTTCGTATGTTCATCCAATGGGTATAAAAGGGAAACGAGCCTGTTGGCTCAACACGCAGAGAGAGAGAGAGCTACCTAGCACGACGAGGGTTATGAAGCATGTAAAACAATGCAAGGCTCAGCCGACTTACAGTGACAACAGAGCTAAGCCAGCAGCTCGCTGTCCCTCAAGCGCAATTGCTCTAGAGAGAAGGGTATTATGCTCGGAGGGTCTCTGCATCTTAGACACCTATGGAGGGTCTGGATACTTTCTTACACAGCGACTAGTCCGGGCAGCGAATAGCAACGGCCCTACACACTTGAACATCTTCTCGACTTTCTTATCACCACTCGGGTCTTCCTATGCAGAAACTCTGCATCATCAAGTACCTGCTAATTCAGCAGTACTGAAAGATATTCGCGCGATTTACTGCGTCACCGCGCCCGTGTCTAGCATGAGAAAGTCCTGCATGAGTTAAGACTATGTTAAGCTTGCTCAGGTTTCCAGCATGCCCTGAACCGACGGTTCAGGCTGAACGTAGGGCCCGACAGACGGCCCGTCTGTGACGGGGGAGCTTGTAAGATTACGATCAGAGGTATCGAACCGTGAGGACTATCTATTCCCTCATCCCACAATTACACCCTTGAAACTAGAGATCGCCGGTATTGGGGGAGAGCACCGCCATTCTCGAAGCGCGCGAGTTGTGTATCGCGACTCTAACTGAAACTCTCACAGAGAAAGTCTAGGATGCGGTAGTACCGCATCCTTGACTTTCTCTGTGAGAGTTTACCGCGTGTGTACCGCAGCGGTACACACGTTGGAGCATATTGAGTTTCGTACTGGAGAAACTGGGCAGGAACTGCAGATTGATGAGGGGAAATAGTATATGGTAAACCATGAGCTGACCCTGAAATCAAAGAATTGTGGCGGGCCGAAGATGAACTCGGCTACACGCCAGTGAGCTAGCCACAAGCACGCATGAACGGGTAGATACGCAACGTACGAGTACCAAAAACATAAATTCTTTGGTCCACGCTGTAACTATCTCCCTTCCATTCGACTTGTTGCTTTTCGTGCTCCTTGTATTTCACGCGTTTGTCCTATATCCCTCAATTCCCGCCGAGCGGCTTAACCGCTACGGGTAGCGTTCCCCGCTTGGCGAAGCAAAGAGCTGAAGCTACCTCAATATCGAAACCACAAACTATATACGGCTGAGATGTGGGCTCTACTTGGTGACAGCTGGATTGGCGGGCCGGGTCGTCGTTTCAGTCCGATGAGTCAGTTTCATTGAGTCTGCATTGGAGGTCAATGTCACTCGAATAGTAGGTGAGTCCCAATCTACCGGTGTTTCGCAGCTCACAACAGCGGCTGTTGTGATTGGTTGCGGCATTGATGGGGCTGTTGAACAGCCCCATTGTTCAGAGAGGCACTGCGGCTCGCAGCGCCTCAGTCATATTTCAATAATCCATACTACGCTTTTTACTCTGATCAACAGAGCTGCGCGGTTTATGAAGTATCTGTGTGTCTCCTGACTCAAAACTTTCACGTTATTCTAACTGTTAGAGTCTAACAGTTTGTCTTAGCTTTAAGTGTCAATTGCATATTACCCCACTTCCACAACAATAACCCGGATCACCCTTTCCCTATGTGATCAAGTTGTCCTATCAATTGACTATATAACTCTACCTTCTGCCTCGTCACTGAATCTAATGATTAGATTCTAATCTCACACCATGCACACTCATATTATGTTGTCAGCACGTCACTATCTCCCTACGCTCGCCTACTTGATCGATCCCTCATTGACATGAAATGCATTTCCCCTTGCTGGTAACTGGGTGTTGATGAGGCGACGAACCCAACTCCTTAGCTCTCGCGACTTATACTATTTAGTCGATCCGCTCGCTCTCTCTGACGATGATTCTTTTCTTTCTCCTTTTGTCAACTACTCCATCTTGACATGCCATGCTACTATCGCATTCGGGAGCTGCCACATCGATTAGCAGATGGACAGAAGCTCCTCGTGATGGTATGCTACAACATACCTGGTCTAGCGGTTGTCCTACCTTAGCACCATATCGACCACTGAGCTGGCCACCACACATTTGAGACGATGGCACAGTTCGGCTACTTACTGCGCTTCTCTACTCTACCGAGGAGGTGATCCACACGACACTCTCCATTGCTTGAAGCAATT